CTAATACTACTACTACTCTCTCTCTCTCTCTCTCTCTCTCTCTCTCTCGTTTCTCCCCCATTTTTCTAATTCCGTTATCGAGCAATCGTTATCCCATCATCATCGAGACACGTTGAATGACATCGAAAACGACAGACGGTGGACATTCGATCCCGCAATAAAAGCAAATCGATCGATAAAGCGGCGATTGATCGTGATCCAATTACGAGGGGCACGATGAACGCAATCATCATTATCGAGCCATCGCGCATTATGCGAGGCTGCCTTCGCGATAATATCGAGCGCGATAGGTCGTGTACTTTCACGTATTATGCGGCCTACGGTACACGTGCACGTAAATGCTTCCACGGTGTTCGTAAACGCGTCGAAAATCGGACGCGCGGACGTTTTGCTCTTCGTTTTGGCCTGTTACTACGTACGATCAGATCATCTTATCTACGCTGCAAACACAACGAGGAAATGTTAATCCTCGGTTGAAAAGCGCGCGATATTTATCTCGAGAAAAGTTTCGTTTCGTTAATTTGTAATTGAACAGATGTTGATCGATGCTTATCTCCAATAATGTATTCGAAATAAATAAGTCGATCGAATAATTTGAGTGAGATTGTATTTGATGAAGTTGAAGATGCAATTGTCGAACAGAGGTATCTTTAATGGAGTAATGATCGGCAGATCGACTTTGCAATTAAAATTGATACGAAGTTTTTAATTATAAAATCGAGAAATAACGTATGTGTGCACGTTGCAGTTCCGGACAAAAGCAAGGAGCCAGAATCGAGGCAATTCGTCGGCCTGGTTATCGGTATACTAACCACCGTGATCGTGATGCTTCTGGCGGCAATCACGTTCATTTTCTACAGGAATCGAAGGTTGAAGGCCGCCCTCGCGCCTTCCACGTTCTACGATCAACACGGCGACTTGAAGGTAAGATAAACTTCCCCCTTATTTTTATTCAATATCTTCCCCGGCTCTTTACAACTTGTTTACAGAATGTTATCGTAATGTGCGATGTTACTTCAACGCGAGTGTTCAAAAAATCGTTAAATATAACCGGGATTATTTTGTTCGACATTTTGGTCCAGAACGGAAAATTATCCGTCCACACGCCTCTTCCCAATTTTGATGAAATATAATTCCCGCGAAATGGCGGGATAAACATACGCGGCATAAATAAAAGATCGTGCAAACGACGCGGAAACCGTGGAATTCAATCAGACGGTTGAATCCATCGTTTAAAACTTTCGAATTACTTCCCGTTCGAAAGTTTACATTAGCCAAGTCTCGTTTAAAATCCTTACAAACCGACTGCATTTATTTTTCTTTTTCTTTTTCACTCCGAGTACTCGATTTCACGCTGTTCTACCGCACGCTGTCTTCGAGTTCTTCTCTTTCAGATCGAGCAAAAGAAGAGGAAGAAAAAGAAAAAAGAAAGGGAAAAAGAAAATCGTTAAAAGAATCGTTAGCAACTCGAGACGATTTTCGGTCGATTTCGTTTCACTTCACAGGAAAGTGAGAAAAAAATCGACCTCGTTACTACCGATCGAGACTTTAATTCGAAACCAGCAATTCGCCAAACAGGATCAACACGATCCCGTTTCACCCAGAGTTACGAGATTTTTTTTTTCTTTTCTTCTTCTTCTTCCTCTTCTTCTCGTCGCGGATTCATTTCGAGTCTAATAAAGCGAATAGCGCGAGGCTATTTGCTCTGCCCTCCCTTTTCGCGAGGAAGGTGCGTTTCGACGACGAAGAAAGCTTTTGAGCAATCATGGAGAACGGTTTTAGCCGTGTTAGACGCGTGACGGAAGATGTGGAAGACGGAATGGTGGAGGAGGCTGGTCAAATATTTTCCTTGGACCGGGCAAAAGGGCAAGTGGGATTGCGCCATCGATGATCGAGGAAAAGGGGACGAAAAGAGGTATCCTCGATAAATAGCCGCGAGCGGATATTTCTTATAGGGCGTTTTAATTGTAAGACGTATTATATCGAGAGGTTATATCGTTAATATTAAATGTAAACACGCGGTGAACACACGTGAAAAGATAATTCCACGGATTTTATTATTATTATACGAATATTTTAAAGACTTTAAAATAAGTCTAAAAAGAAATTGCTTCGGATACAAATAGAATGGAAACAGAATCGTAACGAATAGATCTTTCGAACCAATTTTCATTCCAATGGACTACATCGGCGGCACATCGGTCCAAGTTAAGCTCGAGCGTTTGCTCTATTTGCGAGCAACGAATAACTAAGTGACGCCAAATTGGACACGACATTATCCAAGGCATCTTCTCAGGAATGCGTTACCTATCCATCTTTCTCAACGGAGACGGAATACTTCTCTAATCCATGGGCCAGCTATTCGTTGCATCAAAAAGAAAAAGACGAAAAAAAAAAGAAAAAACAGAAGAGAAAAATGGATCGTCTGGAAATGAAGGCTCTGCCGGTTTCGAAAAGGGGAAATGGCGCGTGCGCAAATTGGACCGGTGTAATACAGAGAATTATTAAAGTTTTGTATTTATTGTCATCCACGGTCGGTCCGGGCCCCTCTCTGTCCGCGTAATGAGACCGCGAAGACGGGTCCACTTTGTCCCCGGGGAAAAAATTAATTACCGCCGTTAGAGGAGGGAGAGTGGAGAGGAAGGGAGGGCGAAATTGGAGACGATGGAATTCAACGCTCTCGCTTTCCATTGAATTTATGAAATGAGACGCGTACCGGCCAGGAAATATGTAAATGATGGGGTGAAATTGGTATTTAACGAAGCAACGGATGCGAATGAAAGTGGAGAGGGATAGGTTTTTAGGCGTGAAAATGATGTCGAGGACTTGTTCGTTTAACGAATTTAACGATTCTCGTGCTTAAATTTTTTTTTTTTTGATGCTGCACTCGTGAGATCATCTTTCTGTGGAACTTTTGAAAGGAAATTGTTATAGCAAAAGATTGTTGACGTTGATACGAGTGTTGAGTACAGTTTCAGATTTGTACGGATAGAAAGATGTATGGAATTGTCTTTATTGATTCCTGAAAGTGTAACTTTTGTTTTTGAGGCAAGTATTGTACATTGTACAAGAGTGGAAAGTTGTAGATTTGAGTATAAGAAAAGTACAGATGCTATTACATAATAGCAATAGTCAATACAACATTACAAAAAAAGTGAAAATTTATTTTTATTCATCTTTGTTATTTAGAGTGATCAATTGTCAGTAGACGCAAAATTAAATGCAAATACTCGTATAAAAACGAAATAGAATTAATAGAATAATTAATTATTTTCCTATATCGAATTTCATTAGTAACGATTCAAAGTAACGATTAATATTACGCGTGTAAATAAAATTAATAAAGTTTAAATATGATTAAATGGAATCTAGGGCAGATTCGAAAAAAAAAATTATCCCGGATAAACAACAAAAATTTGATCTCCCTGTTCAAATTTAATTAAATTTAGTTAAATTTCATTTGTTCAAATAAAAATTAACCTCATGCGTAAATAATAATAAAATTTAAAACGCAGATTAAACGAAATCTTGACAACTTATTGTAAATATTTTTTCTTTTCCGTTGTAAATTCCATCTAATTTCAAATACCATCTAATTTTCTATACGTAGATAATATAATGTTTCGATATTGTTGGACGAGAATTATTCGGTAAGTCTCGGAGTAATCGTCCCGTTATCGACAACAAAGGAATACTAAGTGACCTGTAGTGGTCGCAAGTGTATTAATAACAAGCTTTGGATGAATGGACAACTACGAGCCTTCGATCCCATCTCTGAAGTGTACCTACCTAGAGGGCAGTAATTAACAGATTGTTGAACGATGGGAAATAATGGAAGCCAGGCGATGGCGTGCAATTCTCCCTAGACGCTTTCGAAATGTGTTCTAAGCGTCGAGTTGAGCCTTAAGACAGCCACGGTACAATGCTCTGACACTTACAATTAGAGACTTATTATATTAAAACGGGTAATAAACATTAATTAAATTTCCACGTTTCTGGTGGAATGCGCGATTTATCGTTGAGGAAAGCTCGAATTATCGTTCTCACTGCTGTTCACTTGCGAGCGGATGCGAGACAAAGAGTTTTGCAAAATATTTTCTTCATAAATCGAATATTTGGAGAATGGATTAAAAGAATTTTATGTTTTTAATTTTTCTTTTTTTTTTTTCTAGGAATATATAAGGAAATATAAAATAAATCATTTCACTGGATACGTGAAATATGACTATGAAAAATTCAAATTTATTCCACTGTAAAGTATACTGTATGAAAAGATAATGAAAAAATTACAAACAAACTTGGTCGAGATACTGGAGAATTTTTCTATTCGTGTATTCTTTCCGCCAGTCTTTTGGAAAAAAATTTATTCAAAAAGAGAGAAAAATTACAAACAAACTCGTAAGATACTAGAATTTTATTTCCATAAAATACGAATATTTTTCTACTATCTTTTTACAAAAAAAAAAAAAAAATGATACAAAAAATTATTCAAAAGGGATAAAAATTACAAACTCAGATAAGACTAGAATTTTATTTCCACGAGATACGAATATATCTCTCTATACCGTCATTTTCGAAAAGAAAAAAATACCAAAAAATAGAGGAACGAAAAAATTAACTCAAAATAAAAAGAAAAAGAAAATTGCATACGTATATAACAAACTCGGACAAGATACTAGAATTTTTTTATTTCCATACAAATTATTTCTTTTTCTACCATCCTTCCTCGAGAAGAAAAAGAAAAAAAATTCATTTACCAAAAAGAAAAATAAAAAACATGGAATAGCAACCAGAGAGAATTAGCGGAGGGACGCAGCTAATCTCCTCATCGGATCATTACGGAAAGAGACAAAGGCCTTTCCACTGGAGTTGGGTTCGCATTTATTACGAAGGACCACTCCCGTTAAAACCGCTCTCCCCTCCCCTCCCCCTGTTTTTCACCCTTCGAGTACACGAACCAATATAATTCCCGGTGAATAAATTTTTTTCCCCTCCCCCGGCTTCGAGCTGACTCCACTTAATTAAAAGAGGCGCTCGTATGAGCCCATTGTCGGCGCGAGACGTGCGTTATCTAGCTCGTTCGCCAGCCTGTAAGCAAGGCTTGTGTACACACGTTCCTCCTCTCCTTCACGATGCCACTCCCGACATTAGCCACCTGCTACTTGTCTCGCCTTCACGTTGTTGCAAACCTCTCCAGTTTCGCCATTTATTTTTTTTCTTCTTCTTCTTCTTCTTTTTTTTTTTTTTTTGGCGTTGGACGACCTCGTTGCGCTTCCGCCACGAAGCGAGGATTCGCGCGTCGAGTCGATGTCTTGATGGAAGGCAGTGGCGTTCGGTTTGATTAGGGTTTGTTTGTTCCGGAATCTGGATTGTCTCAACTCGGCTGGAATAACGCTCGTGGACTCGTAGTGTTTAATCTGGATTAAAGTGCTCGATCTGTGAATCAAACACGCATAGTTGTTGTCACTATAATGCAATTTGTCTCGAAGAATCGTTGTTTTATTAATTTCATGCGTGGCTTCTTTTTTTTTTTTTTTTACGAAATTAAAAAAGTACAATTTTTTTATATAAATAGTTATTTACACGATAAAGTAAATATTTATCATTTTGTGGAAGGTATTTATCAGTTTATATTAATATCGAGCGAACGTGTTTTAGTATTCCAGTAGATTATATTTGTAATGTAAATTGGTAGTTTTTTCTTTTGACATTGTTGTTTGACTTTGTTTAAATCGAAACATTCTTAACGAGTTTATTCCTAGAAAAGTTTATATTTTCTACAAAACGTAACAAAGCATTGTCGCGAAACATCTGATATTTTTATCGTTGCTTTTAATCCATAAAAAATTTCTAGACGATATTTCACAGATTAGTGGAATTCGCTTGATGGAAGGACGATGAAATATTTATAGCTCTTTCAGCAC